TTTGCGAATTCTAATTAATGTACGTGGTAGTTTCATTCTTCAACATGCTTCTATTTTTGCAAAAGCTCGATAATATCTTTTTAATTTCAACCAAAAACACTCCAAGCAGATCCATGGCAACGGACACTTCAACAGCTGGGTGCGGAAAGTTTCTCATCCGAGGACTCACTATAATCACGAGCCCCTCAGGATGCCAAGACATTGCAAGCCCCGCCCCCTTATTCAGTGCCTGTTCAAATGCTGAAACCGGAAATCATAGAAAGTTTCAAGATTGAAGTCCAGCTGCGAGATTGTTCCAACAAGAGCAAACTTTGGCTTTAAAGGGAGGTTGCTTCGTTACAGAGATTTGTTCGTTGCGAATTCAAGGTCTAGCACCAAAATCCAACTAGATTAGGATTCGAATTTAGGAGTTTTCGACGTTCCTTTTTTTATGACAAGACCCAAATTCGGTGTACGTTCTCTAAATACCATTTTTTAACGGTATATGTTTTGTGCGATTCAATAGCAACTAATTTTTGAACATATTCTCGGAATTAAAAAACCCGAAACATTTTCCTAGAATAGAAATCTTAAACATGTGGTCCGTATTTTTTTCCCAAATCTAGTGTGAGCTTGTGACCAAATTTTCGGGCAAAACAGCCACGGGAGTGCAAAACATGTTATGCGCTATCATATCAACTAGGGCCCGGCACTCCTTGGTTTGGAGCATTTTTGAAAACGCAGTCCCCTGTGACTGGCGAGAATTCACGAATTCCTTTTCTTATATAAAAGCTAGTATGGAAGCCCTTATTCAAACATCATACAATGAAAAGGCGAAAAAAAGCGCATGTGAGGTGTCTATTATAACAAAGAAACAAAAAAAAACATTTTGAGTGAAATAAGGGCACCCGTCATTAAGTATGGAACCATTTTAATGTTCAGGATGTTGAAAACCACTTACAAGGGAAGGATACCAACATTAGTTGGCGGTTGAAGATGAGATGCATATCATTAGACGCGATCTTGAACGCTGATTCCGAATCTGCTTCCCTTTTTTGCGGAATAAGTTTCCGAAGCAAGTTGTGAGCGAGTGAATGTCCAACGTTCTCAAGATTCAAGTGGCCTAAAGTTGGCAAAAAGCTGAAACTCACCGAAAAGTAGAAATTCAGTTTTGTATAAAGTCTATTGTTTGCAAGAAAGCTTTAATGGTCAGTTGAAATTGTTTAGGTATCGTTTCAGAGTTTCTATTTTCAAGCCATTCAATGTTTGGCAAATTTGGACATTTAAACGCCCACAATTTCTTTCGGAGAGTTGTTCCGCAAAAAATAAAAACAGATTTGGTTTAGCGTTCAAAGACGCGTTTGTTGATGTATATCTTATCTTCAATCGCCAACTAATGTTAATATCCTTGCCTTGTTAGGCCAACCAAATCTGTGGCCTCAACAATGTGGCGATGCATTCTTCACCACATAATCCAACGGACACTATTTTGGAGCGCGATATCTCTCAAGGCGTAGGTTTAGACTATTTTTGGCTCAAAAAGAGGAGAGGCAATGGTTTGATTCGATCTCTTCGCTATATGATAGAGCGTTGAGCGTTTGAGCGTTCTAATCGTCTAAAACAAAAAGGTTTAAAACTCATGTGAACTCTCCTCAGGACCTCATGAAAACGATATCCCCGTTGTTGCTCCTAACCTCAAAAAAGTCCAGTTTGACCCCGGACCATCCATGCGAGGCTCTAATATCAACCATAACTCCTCAATCACTCAATCAATTACCAAGCACGCTTTTGAATATGTTTCATATATTTATATATGTTCTATGATATCTAAAGGTGAAGACTTCAGATAATTTCTATACAGATTGCGACGCCCTGCTGCAAAAACACAGATTCCGACACCTTGCTGCAAAAATCATTGATCACACTTGTTTTCAAAGATTAGAAAGATATAAATGTTCAAGCACATCTATATCCTGATCGATTTTGCTGCGTCGTTCGTGATCTCTTTTGCGCAATGCTTTTTCTGCACGTGCATTCTGCAAACATCATACACTAGCAAAACATCATAGCTTGTAAATTTCTAATCACTGTACCAGTGCCCCTGGGTGTAGCAAGAAGGTCCGGACTCAAGCGTCACCCCAGCTGAAGCAGACTACCCCAGGTCATCATGTCAGGGTCCATTGCCACCTACCTGGCAAGGTCAGTCAATTCGCGAAAAGACAAAAACCGTCAGTGTTACAAAGAGACAGGATTGCTTCAATACAGTCCCAGAGCGCCTCAGCCCGGCTACCTAGGGTATGGCGGGAAATTTTGATAGCTTTGTCAACTTTGAACCAATCGCCCAGTACCCTGCACACCGTGTCCTTGGGACGTCGAATGGCAGTACGACCGGTGAGGGCGAAGAGATCTCAGGTGCAAAAGCGTGACGTTCATAGATCCTTTCGGCAACGAAACGGATACGACAAGACACGAAGGCTGTTTTCGACCTTGCTTATAATCAGAGGTGCGATGGGGGGAGCCGGGCCCACCAAAAGTGAAGGTGGTCCCAGCTACCACTGGCCGGCCAAAAGTGAAGGTGGTAGTGCCGGACACTCACCTCCAAAAAACGTCGACCGGGGGGGGGCATTAACGTCTATCCTTCCAGGTCAATGCCGTTAGTGCGCGGAAAATAAGCAAAACAAATGCAAAAGGGATCATTGAAAGCACCTTTTTATGTATACAGCGTCATAAATATCTAAAGTAAACGTGCCTATCAAATAGTGTATTTGGAAGTAAAACTCAGCGGAACAGTACTTATTTCATTAATTGAATTTTGTTATAATGTACAGCGAAGAAAGTAGGTCGATCCAGGCAGTAACCGCGGAGAACCAGAATTTAGAATGATAAAATAATGAAAAATCGTGAAAAATCATTCCACTGTTACAAATCTGCTGGCGCTGAAGACCTCCGCAGTTGCGACTTCATAGGTTTTGAAGTGTAAGTGTTGTTCCTCCGCAGTTGCGACTTCATAGGTTTTGAAGTGTAAGTGTTGTTCTACCAGACAGTGAAAGGATCAGTTTGATTCGAGGAGTGGCCGCCGAGAACGAGAATTTTGAAAACCCTTAAAAATCTTCTCAATTTTAGGTTGCTTAATGACAACTGACATTTAAACTCTTATAAGTCCGGACTTTGAAGGTGTGTGATGTTGCGACTTCATAGGTTTTGTAGGGTGAGGTTTGCCCTATCAGAATATTTCTTAGCTGTACCGATCCATTGAAACATCGCCGAGATACAGGCTCTTGAAAAAGCAGGTAAAAACCGTTTTTCAGCTCATAACTTCTTCAGAATTGCATAATTCATGTTGCGACTTCATAGGTTGGATTCTCCTCATCAAGAGCTTTCAAATGATATATAATATGTGGAGGATTCACGCCTCTCACGGCATATGCCCGGGGGTGGAGTACCTCTCTTCACTAATTCTCCACTGGCGGCCTCCCGCCAATACATTGAAATGGGCGGGGTGGAGAATTAGTGAAGAGGAGTACCCCACCCCGGGTTAGAGCCGCAAGAAACATTGAATCCCCCACATATTATATATCATCTGAAAGCTCTTGAAGAGGAGAATCTAACCTATGAAGTCGCAACATGATTTATTCAGTTCTGAAGAAGTTATGAGCTGAAAAACGGTTTTTTACCCGCTTTTTTAAGAGCCTGGATCTCGGCGATGTTTTAATGGATCGGTACAGCTAAGACATATTCTGATAGGGCAAACCTCACCCTACAAAACCTAGAAGTCGCAACATCACACACCTTCAAAGTCCGGACTTATAAGAGTCTAAATGTCAGTTGTCATTAAGCAACCTAAAATTGAGAAGATTTTTGAAGGTTTTCAAAATTCTCGTTCTCGGCGGCCACTCCTCGAGTCAAACTGATCCTTTCACTGTCTGGTAGAACAACACTTACCTTCAAACCCTATGAAGTCGCAACTGCAGAGGTCTTCAGCCAGCAGATTTGTAACAGTGGAATGATTTTTCACGATTTTTCATTATTTTATCATTCGAAATTCTGGTTCTCGGCGGTCACTGCCTGGATCGACCTACTACATAGATATATGCTCTTGATACTTTCTTTTACATTCCTTTTGCTTATTTTCCTTCTTTTGAGCTTTAGCAAAAAAATTTTCAAACCCAAAAGTGAAGGTGGTCACCCCTGCACCAGCTCAAAAGTGAAGGTAGGCGGAGAATCGGCTCCGACTATCGCACCTCTGCTTATAATGCAAAGACCATTCTCAACCCATGAGCTTTATGTTCTTCTAGACGACGGAACTCGCATCAAATACGATGTAACTGCACTACAGGAAACCAAGAACAGAACCTCGGCCACACTTGGCAGGAAAATGGAACCCTTGTCATAAGGAGAGAAAGTTTTAACACAAAAAGTCGGAAGCGTAGCTTCTGTCATACCCCCATCCGTTAGCCACCTCGCCAACTCTTAGGAAATTCTGTCACTACGACTAGCATTCCTTGGACTTGCGGCTCCGCGTCAGAGGAAGATAAGCATCGTCAGCTGTTACTCACCCATAGAGGCAGCAGATGAAAGAAAATACTAATACTTGATCAAGTTTGCATATATGGCAGCTTCAATAGCATATAAATCAACCAAAAACTGCGTAAAATTTCCATCCGATCAGTTAGGCAACAATTAGACGAGAAATTCAAAACAGCAGAGGAAAAGAACGTTTGCACAAAATGCAGCCTTTCATCGTTATCTAATTGAACGCAGTATACAGGCCAATCAGCAAACCAGAAATGCTTTTAGCCAAAGTGGAAACATTACGTGCTAAAATGGCACTCAAAGCCTTTTAGACCAATCATCAGTATACGTTCAAATATAAAGCATCCGTAGCATCCACTTATTCAGCTCACATTTTGCATCTGCAAACTGCTATGCCGTTATTCCCCCACCTCGTCCTAGTTCGCCAATATCTACCTTACATATAACAATTTTTATTTTAGGGTAGCAAGCGAAAGTTGCTAGCAACGATGCTACTTTTCAAAACAATATTCACGGTACAGCAATCACATCCTAAAATTGCATTTCGAGATGAAATGGGGATTTCAGGCGGTACTGATTGCCCTCGTGCAAGTTGCCTATCCATATTCATCTTACCCGCGGTGGCATCCTCCAATGGCTTGGCCACCCGTAGGAAAAGATTTCCATATTCGAGTAGTAACCGTCGGATACCCGCCACCAAATCAAGTGTGGCGTGAAGTCTACCCAGACCGTCGATTTTCGTCACCGTGGAAATAGTAGACGAAATTTTGATTTGTGGTACATTTAATGCGAAATTGCATTAATAAGTAAAACTGAATTCTCGTTATTCCACACTACCCATTTGTACAGCTTTGATGACACAGCCTATTGACATTATTACAGATCAGAGGTCAAGATCAAAGCGATGTGACTAGTTGCACTAACATTCTATAGTCTTTCTCACAAAGGAAGGAAGAATTAGTCGAGGTAGCCTTTTAACATGAGATGGTTTTTGCCTGGAAGGGTACAAAAAGCTGATCTCAAATTTACCTTCCTTATCGACTGCGGGTCTCTGAGCGATGAGTCGTCAAAGATTTTTATGGGAGAAAATATTGGCATGTGCAGCTAGGATAAAATCAGTTTAAACATATCTACTTTATGATGACCATCTGAACGCCAAAAATTGCGGTAAACATTTATTAATGAACAACGACTTCGACTAAACTTCCTCTCTTTGTAACCTCACTGGATTTTCGCAGAACAAGCAGAATTTACGATTTTTTCGCAGCACTCTCTCAACCGTTGAAAAGCGCACAGATGCGGCGCTTCCGCAGAAAATTGATGTCAGAGCGATGGAATCCGAAACTTACAGAGCATCGTTCATGCAGAGCTGCTGAACCGTAACAAAGTGCTGAGTCATTGCAGTGGTTGCTGGGTTTGCATGATTTCTGCGGGTGACCCGACGAAAAAGCAGTCCTACATAAGTTCCGGTAAGTCGTCTAAATTTAGTGGCTTGATGCCGCGTTTTTTTGTTTGATAGAGGATATCGGCAAACACGGACGGAAAAGCAGGTCAGAATGTTCTCAACAAAACCTACGCTGTTACTAGATTTGAATACAGAGCCAACAAGGGTGACTAATGTGGAAGATTAAGGTTGATTAGCTCGAAGACGTCGAATTACAAGAAGAAGTTTTCAATTGAAATCCTGAAATGATAAATTGGGGATGTTTACATAAAGACTTTTGTATAAATATGCGTATGATCGCCGAAGGACAGAAGGCGTTATCACTACATTAGCATATTTAACTTGTAATCTCGATTAGTCTTGAACAGATACAGTATACGAATACAGCTTCGTAAATATCGTTCTTCATAAACAAAGTTTTCTTTTAATCTATCACTTAATCTTTTTCTCTACTTCGTTTAGTTTCTCTAGCACCGCTGACTTCCTGGCTTACAATTCTATCGAAGTAAAAAGCATGCAAAAAGAAATCTTGATGTTATTGCTTTACGAAGATTAGTCTACGTACCTAAATAATCTTGATCGTGATTGCATAATTGTGTATCCATTTGCAGGAAATTTCAAATGCCGATTGTGTAACTCTAATCGTTCATTATCGCGTGTATAAGTCTCTGCAGCACTTTCGCATGTACTGCTGGTGACAGAACGCTTTAGAGCTGTAGAATGCGCTGACGTGGTATGGACAAGGATGTTCCTAGATTTTTTTTCTAACCATTTGATCCGAACAGAACTGTTAGATAAATTTATCTGGATGCTCAGACAATTATGGCGAGCACCCGCCGGCCACCCACGGGCGACGCCACGCCCATCTCGAGGGCGCGCCAATAGGGGCCCGTAAGCGCCCGGCAATGCCCGCGGGTGACCCGATGAGCGCCCGAACAACGCCAGCGGGTGGCCCGGCAAGCGCCCGATGGGTGCGCAACATGCATGGGGGGAGGGGGGGGGGTAGCGATACACCTCGGTAGGATTAATGAGTTCATATCTTTCATTCCCAAAATTTCGCGACATCTACACCACCATAACAGAGTTTTCGACGGTCCATAGTCCAATGGGGCTCATCCGAGACACTATTAATGAACAAGAACTTGATGCTACTTTCACTTTTGAGTAAGACACAAACGTTGAGGGTAACCCTATTACCACGGCGTATCTCACGCGAGTAACGTTCTCTCTTATAGCGTGTATTAATTGTGCTCATGCAAGACCCGGGGCTCGTCGGAGTGACTCTGTTGGGCCGTGCCTAAGGGTCGGAGCTTGCCCGAGAGCTGAATATGCAGTGCGTCCACTAAGGCTCGGGGCTCGCCCGGGTGCTGTTTTTTGGGCCGCGGGTGTTCCGATAAAACTTTTAAGGCCCGCGGCCTTCCTTAGCGATGACATTGAGCCGCGGGTCGCCATGCAAATAATTCTAGGGCCGGGGCCGCGGATGGTCATTCCAAGAATTCAACGCCCGCGCACCGCCGAAAGGCACCGCTAGGGGCCTCGGGTGCTCGCAGTAATTGTCTGAGTGTGAAAAAGAAGCCAGCCACCAAAAGGTTCCACATGTATTTATATAGTGCCACTGTTGATTCAAAAATTTAAAATACTCATCAATTTCGGATTGCGTTGAGGTGACAATGAAGCAGTCATTTAGAGCGACAGTATATTATTGGCAAGCGTGCTATACCGACTCCTCAATAAAGCGTCAAGACAAGCGCGAGCCTTTGTCTTTTTGCAGGTGATTGGCTTTGGAAAAGTAGTTTGCAAACCACTTAGAAATGTTAGAAGTAAAACATTCTTCGGTGGGGATCAGTAGTAGGCACGCTTAACCCAAAGATAGCTATGGTGGAGTGTACTTATCCAACATTTTCGAAATGGCTTGCAGAGCGGCGTTGCTATGAACAAACGTAGAGCGATATTACTAAGAACTAGACAACATCGCTATTTTTAAAAAAAATAGGAGGCGAGGAGCACCAAAATCCCAAAATCGCTTCTAGCATGCCAAGGTTGCTCTATACAAAACGTTTACACTGCTGGCTTCTACCGTTATTCAGTAAAGTCTTTCAGGAGCAAAAAGGTCCTTTTACTTTCGAATTATCCCTAGCAGAAGGGCGGTTAGCTTTTGAAAACGTTCTAGCCAAAATTTTGTGCCCTTGAACACAAAATTCAGGAAAAAAAGCAGAATGACGGCAGCCTTGGAATTTTTTTTTGAATGCACCCAAATCGTATGTCTACCAGTGGCGGTCCGAGGGGGGGGGGGCGGGGGGGGGGGGCGCCCCCCCCCTCCCGAGAATGGGTCGCGAAATTTTTGGAACTTACCTATATGGGTTATAAAAATGTGCAAACGACTTGTTTATTTTTGTAAATATTTGTAAAATTTTTTGAGAATTCAAATTAGCCTTACAAAAAATTTTTTTTCGGGGGGGGGGGGGTGGCTGTTTTTTTTCGAGGGGCTGCCACTGGGTGCAGCAGCAAGGCCTAGACTCACGCGTAGGATCCGTTGCCAGACAAAAACCCTAAGGGACAGGACTGTTTTGATATAGCCCCAAAACCCCCAGCCCGGCTATTCAGGGTGCGGCGGCGGGATATTCCAATAGCTTTGCCGCCTTTAAACCAATCGATCCAGTATCCCGCACCATGTTTTTCTGCCGCATGGGACGTTGAATGGCAGTACGACCCGGTGAGGGCTAAGAAATCTCAGGTGCAAAAGCGTGGCGTTCATAGATCCTTTCGGCAACAAAACGGATACGACAAAATATGGAGGTTGTTTTCGACCTTGCACTTATAATGCAAAGACCATTCTCAACCTATGAGCTTCATGTTCTTAGACGCCGAAACTCGCATCGAGTACGATGTAATTGCACAAAGGAAAATTAAGAACAGAAGCTTGGCCACACTCGAGAAGAACGATGGAAGCCTTGTCGTACTAGGAGAGAATGTTCCAACACGGAACGTTGAAGGAATGGGGTTTGTGTTACATCCATCCGTTCGCCAGTTCGTCGGCTCTTACGAAATTCTGTCATCACGACTAGCAGTCCTTCGACTTGCCGCACGCTTCAGAAGAAGATAAGTATCATCAACTGCCATCACCTTCAAAGGCAGTAGACGAAAGCGAGCTCGACAAGTTCTACAAAGAGCCTCAGAACACCATCTACAAAAAGAAGTCGTTCTATAAGTTTATTGTCGTCGACTTCAGATAGCACAGACACAAGTCCAAGAAGATGACAGAATTGGGAATTTTGGTCTGGGAAGTCGAAATGAGAATGGAGACAGACTCGTGGCTTATCGCAGCGGCTCGACTATTTTATGAAAGTTTTTTTTAGAAGAAAGAACATCGCCGTTGGACAAGGGAGTCACCAAATGGCAGGCGCATGCGGAAATCGACCATATACTTGTCAGTCGGAGTAGTTCGTCGTTCTGCACAGGCTCGGGATCACCGATTATTTCGAGCGAAGATCCGTAAGTCAGAGAATGGAAAGGAGATTCTCCCATCGTTAAAAGCTCAGAAGAGAGGCCGTGTACGACGAACGCATTCTCGAGAACACCATTGCCAGGTACAAATGGAAGGGCAATGATCCAACAGAAGATCTAGGAAAGCTGATGGAAGGACTACACAGCTGTGCTAAGCAGGCAGCTCTCACCGTGAAAAGAGGTTGTGGACGATTGACGAGCAACACCAACAAACTCCTATAGAAAAAAGTTTGACGCAGATCCAAGCATGCCACATCAGGAGCAAGTGCTGTTCCCGTGCAAGACGATCTGAAACGATATTGACACATGAAGTTACTCGAAGCAGCACGGAACAGAAGAAGTTTTAAAAAATGTTGAAGAGATCTACGCAGACTTAAGTATCGATACAAGCTCTACTGAGTAAAGACAGAAAATTAGTAAACTCTCGGCGTGAAACAGCCCCGGATTCCGATAGAATCACCGCAAATTTACTGCCGGCAATCACAAGCTGCAAAGTTTACTGGCAACTCATATGGCGGACTACCTAAAAAAGGAGAGGAGAAACAACCAGTAAAAAACATCCCGCACGATTCTCCTAAACAAAAAAGGCGGGAAAGAAAATCTAAAGCATCACCGACCGATGAACTTTTAAGTGTGTCTTACAAACTATTCACAAAGATCGTCAAGTCGCGCATCTCCACGACGTTGGACGAAGCACTCTGGAATCTAGTTCAGAATCAACCAACAATCGCAGACACCTGCCAAGACGTTCATGGATGACGATGATTGCCCGAAACCGCAACGTATGGTCGAATTGGGGCCCGCACGA